CCTGGGATTGAACTCCTGGCCCCTACCCTGTTTGCAGGCTCTTTAATCCGCTGAGCTATTTGACCAGCCCTCTAAATTATTATTTTATTTTAAAAGACACTCTTTGGCTCCCTTGTATTTCTTGGGAATTTCATGAATGCGAGCTGAATGGGGGGGGGGGCGGCATCCGGCCCTGTCCCCGGGGTGACCCAAAGCTCCCTGCCCTGTGCCTGTGTCCGTCCTGGCCTGCAGTGCGTAGGCGGCCACTGTCCTGCACAGGTCCTTGAAGGTCCCCGCGGCGAAGCTCCCAACTGCAGCCGCCGCGAGGAGACGCTGCGGACCCTCCGCGTCGCCGTGTCCGGACGTGCCTGCTCGCAGACCGAAGCCCGCGGATTCCTGTGCACTTGGGAGGTCGAGGAGAACAGGGCCTCTGGCTGGGCAACCGCAGGATTTCCTGCATGCTGGCGACAGCCACCACCACCACCCCGTGGTCCCTGCTCACGAGGCTTTTAGGGTCCCGTATTCCGGGACACAAAATGGTGCCGGAGGTGGGAGCTGGGCGGCGGTCCTCTCTGTTTTTCCAGAGGTTCTCTATCCACCCCACCCAAGGAACAGTGCTGCTTGAGTTTCTTCACTATTATTGGTGGGTTTTTCTTTTGCAGTACTGGGGATTAGACTTGAGCATGCTCCCTGTACACTAAGTTATCACCAACACACACACACACACACACACACACACACACACACACACCCCACCGCCTTTTTTTTTCCTGAACCAGGATTGAACTCAGGCCCTTGTTCTTGGAAGGCAAGCGCTTATTCTACTGAGCCATCTCCTCGGCCCCTTACTTAATTCTTTTTAATTTTGAGGCAGGGTTTTGCAGGTCCCTCTGCCTCAGCCTCCCAGAATGCTGGCACAGTCATGGGCCACTACGCCTGGCTAGTCTACTCATTTTTATCTTTGTTACTATTTTCTGCTTTGCTGGGCATATTCTACTCTGTTTTTGCTAACTTCCCAAGTTGAACTTTCAACTTTCTGATTTTCAACATTTCTTCTTTCCTAATAGATTACATTTAAAGCCAAACTTCCCTCTAATGACTCTGAGTTGCATCAGCAAAATTTTGAAATGTGGCCTTTCCATAGCTATTCACTGGTAAATATTTTATAATTTTCATCAGTTTCATCTTCAGTCAGTGTTTTGAAATCCCCAGTGTATACAGCAGCTGTTATCTGCTATCTTTTTTGTTAAGATAATTGTCTTTTTTTTTTTTTTTTTTTTTTTTCAAAGCCCTGTGCTCACTGGCCCTCTGTATATCTTCTTTGGAGAACTGTCAGTTTGAGTTCTTTGCTTGATTTTTTTTTTTTTTTTTTTGGTCCAGCTCAGCCCAGCCTGGGGGTGGGGCTGGCACAGCACTGGTGCAGAGGATCGAACCTCTGTCCCCTGCGCCTGCCTGAGCTTGCCTAAGCAGGCATTTTAGACTGCTGAGCTATCTCACCGGACCTATTTGCTATCTTTTCATTAGTGACGTCTGATTTCACTACAGAATGCGATTCACCAGGGGATTTGGTATTTGTTGAAAGTCACCTCATTGCCTAAAGTTGGGTTTCATATTCTGTATTTATATTTCATTTCTCATGTTGTACGGGTCCATGCCAAGGCCCCAGCGATGGCCAAGAAGCTAGGCCTACTCCCTGATACTTTCCGGCACCAGGAATGAGCGGCCGTGGGCCTATGGCGCCCAGGGGGAGAGGGGTTCAGGAGCTGAAGGCGGCTCCTAAGGTGACGACACCTTTGCTGCTCCGAGCCCAGATCTAGCCTAGCCCGGGGTCTGCGCAGCCAGCCCCTGCAGGCTGCTGTGGGATCCCCAGGGTCAGCTGCTGTGGCCACTGGACCTGCAAGATCACATCCAGGCCTGGCCAAAGACGGGCGGAGAATGATACACAAGTGTGACTGGAGATTGAGCCCAAAACACCCAAGAACTTGCACCTTCAGAAGACACTAGGGGCTGAGGTGAGGCCGGTGGGGTGGTCGAGCGCTTGTCTGGCAAACACAAGGCCCTGCCTTCCATCCTTGGGGCTAAAAAAAGCAAAACCAAATGACCTGTAGAAAAGAAGACACAACAGGGCATGGTGGCCTATGTCCCATCACTCAGGAGGCTGAAGCAGTGGCCAGGAGAGGACCAAGTATGAGCCTGAAGAAGCCACCTCAGGCAGGAGCACCAACTGGGTGGGGGCGGGACAGCCTGAGCATCACCCCTCACACCAGGGACTTTTCATGATCCAATAGACTGAGCCCCTCCCCTGCCCCGGAACCGGACACAGCCCACTGTACCTCCTGGGCCTCACACCTGCTCCTAGAAACACCGACGCTCTTGCAGCCACATGCCTTAAACCCAATCTTGGGGATCCCCGACTGTCCCCCAGTAAGTTTCTTTTCCTTCCTTTTTTTAATAATCTTTCTGAGACAGGGTCTCAGTGGGTAGCCTAGGCTGGCCTCAGATTCACAGCGCTCAGCTGAAGCTGGACACTGACTGTCTGTGGGAGGGCAGGTCTCGGCCTGAGTGGCTAAAGCAATCAAGCTACCTCGGTCTCCAGAAGAATCATCCTGCCTGGACAATTGCAGCTATTTGTCGCTAGGCAACCATGTGTCTCCTGATGCTAACTTTGCAAAGGTATAAATAAACACCCATAGTGTTGCTTTTGGGGGTCTTCTGCCAATGAGACAAAGAGGCCACCACCTGAACCCAGCTCTCCTCTCTTGTCTATTTTTTCCTCATTCCTGCTGCCATTTTCCCTGGGGTGAGAGACACCAGCGAGTCCCTACAGCAATCTTGCCTCAGCCTCCTGAGTGCTGGGACTGGAGGTGTGCTCCCAAGCCCCACTGGATTCTGTACAGCAGAGAAGGAAGCGGGTGGGGAGAAGAGGCAAGAAAGAAAAGAGAAAAAAGAAAAGAGAAACAATGTCAAAGTGGCAAGGACCTTGAGAGGACTAGATCCCGCCTTGTCACCTGGGACTTAGACACTTGTCCCTGGCCTCCTGTTAAGAGGCACTCACATGCAGCTGATAAGGGGCTGCTGAACTGCCACCTAGGTCCACCAGCCTGGAGAGGGTCACCTGCAATCCGTGCACCCACAGGCAGCTCTTCACTGAAGGCCGGCAGGTGCCAGCGCCACACAGAACCACCCACGAGGCAGGCTGCATGGAGCTGGTACTCTTTGGGTCTGCATTGCCTTAGGTGGGGATCCTAGAAGGAGGCCCGAGAGGGAGTCCCGTCTGCCGGGAGGTGTACTGTTGGGAGCGCTCTGGAGCTCTGGAGAAGGAGTGGCTGTGGGCCACGCAGGTGCGCACAGAGGCCAGGGGCTGTCCTGGCGTCTCAGCAGGAGACCAAGTTCAGCCTGACCCCACAGGAAAGCCCTGAGCAGAAGCTGCGCTGCTGCGCCCCGCCAGCTCCAGGCCCGCTGTCATTCACCAGGGAGGCGGGGGGGGGGGCGGCTAGGCGGCTGTGAGCCCTTAGCAGCCAACGCTGGAACAGCTGGAAAACTGAGGGGGAACCAAGAGCGTCCACCGCAGCATCCTCTGGAGTGAGCATGACCCGGGTGGAGACAGGGAGACTCGGAGACCATAAAGGAGGCGTAGGAGGCAGAAACAGGAAGTGGGCGGGGTGCAAAGGCGCCAGGCTCTGCTCCTCCGTAGCACCGCGATTTGGCCGAGGACGGACCCTTCGCTTTGCTGTTCCTCCCTGGATTGGATTCTGCACCCCCAGAAAATCCCCCACAACCAGGCAAGGGATGCTGTTGATGCGGGGTCATGATCGCAGCTGGGCCCTGGATCCCCCTGGAAGGCAGCAGCCTCTGCATCGCTACACCCCACAAGCTCACCCAGGAAAGAACCCTATTTCCTCCTCCCTGCTCCAGACAGCAGGGCCACCAGATTTCCTGCACAGAAAGCCCTCCTCAGAGAGGTGGAAGCCGCAGGGTGGCCAGTGACAGCCAAGCCTGAAGCTGTCTCCTTGTCATCTCACAGCTGGGGCCCTACTCAGCCAAAAGAGCCCTTGGTGGCTTCAACCAGCTTCAGTCAAACACAAGGCCCCTTCCTCTGCCCCAGTGAGGCCAAGTTTCATCGTCCCAGCACTGTCCTGATCACTCCTGATGAGTCACTCTTGATCTTCCTTGGGCAACTGAGGCAGCAGCTGCTGCTGAAAACCCAAGCCCCAGAGCAAAGTGACAGATCAAAGGGCTGGAGCAACCCTTGGCCATGATTCTCCCTGTTAACCAGTCCCAAGGCCTCCTGGAGGCAGGTGAGCCTGGCATGAGGTCACTGTCCAGCACCTCAGCTGCAGGAGGCTTGGGCTGTGAAGCAGGCAGCCTCGCTTAGCAAGAGGAGGAGGGCAGCGTGCTTTGTGCCTGTGTGTTTGCGGAGAGATGTCTAGTCAGATACAGGGAGCCTGTGCTCATTAACTGCTGTGGTTTTGGGCAGATGTTTACTGTTGTCACGGATCCCCCAGGTTACCTTGAACCTAACTTCTGAAGAGAGGGGGGCTGAGACAGAGGCCACCACTCTGCTCCCAGCTAAGTCCTCAAGGACCACTCCTCACACCAGCTGTCGTGGACAGGACATTTATTCCACTTGGTCAGCTCAGGTGAGTGTCAGTGACCTCCAGAAATAGCCCACATGGACAACCACTTACAGGCACACCTGCACAGCCATGGGTGGGGCCCTCCTGAGTTCCACTGCCCCCAAGTAGGGGACAGTCAGAGGCCTCCTGTGCCCATGATTGACCCAGGGGAGTCAGCCCACCCATGGCCCGATAGAATGCACCCCCTAGTCAACTCCTACACCCACCTCAGCCCCATCCCCACAGCTTGCCCCCGCTGGCCAGCTGGCAAAAGAGATTCCTGAGCGAGACAAGCCCAGCCCAGCATTAGACCCAGGTGGCATTCAAGAAGAAATGGCACAGTCCCTTGCCCCCAGGGAACTCAATCTGCTTGGGGACCCAAGACACACACAGAGACACAGAGGATACTGGAAGATGAGACAGCACATTGTACTTGAGAGTGACACAGTGTGTCAGCACAGCTACTGTTCAGAGAAGGCAGGAGGGCGGCCAGGTGCCGGGGAAGCTCAGCCCCGGTGGGTACGGAGGGCTTCACGGGGAGGCAGGGAAGAGGACGCTTCTGCAACACAAGGGAAGGCACAGCACAGCTGTCGCAGGAAGAGGCAAGCTGGACAGTCAGCAACCAGGGGAGCGAAGCTGGGGCTTGAGACTGGCCATGAAGGGGAGCCAAGCGGGTGCTCCGGGCTGTGGACTCCTCTGGCTCTTCTGCCCTCCCGGGCATCTGCAGTCCCAGGATGAGACATACAGCAGGTGCTCAGTGAGATCCAGGAACCAGATCCACAGGGGAGAGAAGCAGCGAGAGCCCAGGGCAGGCATCTCCAGGCTTCCTGCCCATCTCCACAGGTCCAGCCTTTTCTGATGGGGGGGTCCTCTTGGGAGACAGGGGAGCAGGGAGGCTCCGTGCTGACCTGCTCCAGTGTGAAGCTGCCTCCACACCCTGCAGCTGGCCTGGGACCTGCTCCCTTCCCCGTGTCCTGTCCCCTCAAGGGACGCAGCTCCTGCACAGGGTCTTCACACTGCCCAAAGCCGCAGCACACAGGGCTCAGGTCCTCTTCTTCCCCAGCCTTCCCAGCAGTGCTCGCCTGGGGCTGCACAACTAGGAGCAGGAAGCACTGCTGCTGCTGTCCTGGGGTGTGGCTGGGGGGAGCAGATCCCTTCCCCTGGGCGGTCCCAGCCAGAACCCTGCCTTTTGGGCAGCCCAGCTTCCCCATGTCCTCACTATGCAATCAGAGCCTGGGCAGAGCAAAGAGCTCTGCCACACAAACTGGCAGCCTATTAGGCAGAACTGGGGCCCAACCAGCCCAGGGCACCTCTGGCCATGTCAGGGGACAGGAACTCAAGTTCTAGAAGCTTGGTGTGCTGGTAGGGCTGGGAGAAGGGAGTGACAAAAGGTTTCCACCTCAGAATTCTTTATTCCCAACAAGGGAAGGAGGCGGTGGGGGGGGGGGTTGCTATCTGTGGGGAGGCCTTGGCTGTGGGGCTCTGAGGACAGGGCACAGCTGAGGAAGACCCCTGGCTGAGGTTCTGGGTCTGGAGTCCCAGGGCTCCTGAAATTGCTTGAAGTCTTTGAGCACACATGAATGTTTGTTCTCCTCGGGACAACATCCATAACCTTCAGTGATTTTCAAAGGGCTGGATGACCCTGAGGTATTAAAGACCTCTCTGGCTCAGCAAGGCAAAAGAGCTGAAGCCGGCAGGTTTGGCCCACTTGTGATGGGAGGGTTTGCCTCAGAGACAGATGGAACGCGAACACCAACTTGCTGTGTTGGCTGCGGACAGTCCCTTCCTGTCTCTGAACATGAGCCAGAGGCGGACTAAGCAGGGGCAGAGAAGCCAGCTCTCCACTCAGGTGCTGTCCCCACACAAGAGTTGGGGTCCGTGGCCAGGCATGTGGAGGACCCTTGCCCAGCTGTGACTCCTGCCAGGCCTGGGGAATTTCCCCATTAGGGCTCGGAATGGAGAATGAGCCTCTACTTCCAGGCTCCATCGAGTAACCTCTACAGGTCACTGCAGGGCACCTCCAAGGTAGGTCTTCTTAGGGGATGTGTCCTCGTGCCAGGGTGCAGTGCCAGCCAGGCCCCTGTGGGGCTTGATTCTTAGTCGCTGTGCCCAGATGTGCCCTGCCCAGATGTGCCCTGCATGTCCTGGTCAGGTTGTGCCCACTTTGCATCTGTTCATAGAAACAAAGAGATCAAGGTCAGGTCTGTGCTGTGTGGCCCTGTTCATCCAGCCTCCGCCCCCACCCCCACTGGGGTAGGAGAGACCCTCAGGTGGCCCTTTCTCAGCCCTTTCTCCAGCACTGCCAGGATATTAACTCCATGTACACAAAAGACCCCCTGGTTTGGGGCACTTCGGGGACTGCTCCTGATGCCCAAGGCCCTGTTTAAGCTTATTCTCTGCCACCAAGTACTTGTCTTCACTGCAGTAACCATGCAGGCAAAGGGTGAGACAGAGCCCCAGCACTTAGCCCAAGCCTGGGCTGGAATGGACGGCTCTGGGAGCCAAGGGCGTGTCTGGGTCCGCAGGACGTTTCCCTGAAGGCCTTCAGCCGCCTGTGCCCCTGCCCAGGCCCCTTTCACATGACTCCTGGCCACATGCCCAAATCCTCCCAGGTCAATTTGCCAGCTTGACTTGGGTCCAGAATCCAAAACAAAGCCCTGGTTTTGCCCACTGTTCCACCAAGCACACCTGTGATTTGGGGCAAGCTCAGTCTCCAACTCCAGGCAGCAACTGGCCTTCCCAGCTGTCACTGCACGACCTTGGTCAGGTGTCCTACCTGGGACCTCGCATTCTTTCAGTAGATCACCCGCAGGCGTCTGCTCTCCTATCTGCCCTCCCAGTGCCTCAGTTCTGAGCTCGCTGTGTGCGTCTCAGTTAAAAGCTTGATTGTCCCCACCCCCACCCTCACTGGAAAGCTCTGATTGAGGATGCTGCACAGGCTTGGTCTTCCTGTAGCAATACCATTTGCCCTCAGGAGGGCTCCAAAGTCATCAGAGTCCCCTGGGTGAAGCCAGTCACCCTTGACCCCAGGGCATTTTATAGGTTGGCCTACTGCATGGCCCACAGCCCTCTGCACTGGCACACATGAGGTGGTACCCACATGTCTGGACCCAAGGTCCTCACCTGCGGCTCTTCCCGGAGTGCAACACAGTACAGCAGGTGGCACACAGTGAGTCTTCAGCCAAAGCTTGTTGGACAAAAGGTGTCACCCCTCTCGGGCAAATCCTTTCAGTATCCCAAGCAGTAGGAGTCTCTGGTCTCTGTCCCCAACTTACAGATGTGCAAACTCAGATATGAAGTGGGATGATTTCCCAAGGGCACCAGACAGTGGACGCCCAAGGCAGGGGGCCTTGCAGGCTGCAGATGGGCCTGGAGAACTGTGGCAAGCTGTCCCCTCTGAGATGCTTTCAACTCTGACATTCTGGGAACGAAGATCCGGCAAGCAGCAGGTCATACAGAGACCTGCATCACCTGCATGCCCACGATGCCCACCACCTCCACCGGATATGGAGAATCAAGGCAACGCCAGGCACCCTGCCCTTGAACCCCACCTGCGGGGCTCACCTGCTCTAAGCAGTAGGAGCCTGCAGAGCAAAACCTGCACAGGAGCCAAATGCCACTGTGTGCGCAGCCAACCCAAGGGCCCTGGGAGAGAAGAGGAAGAGGGTGGCCCAAGCCCTTCGGACACCCCAAGACAGTTCTCCACCCTCTCCCGCGTGCCCATCATGAGTGGTGGCTGCAGCCCAGTGCCATATCCAAGGGCCTCTGACGCAGCTCCAGAGCCAGAGGCGGCCTATGATGACAGACGGCATAGGCGTCATAGCACGCTGCCTAGATGGGCCGCCTGGCCCTCGGGCCCGTGGCCGTGGCTGCGCTGGTGGGTCTTGAGGGAGCCCTCACGTGCGAAGCTCTTGCCGCAGCGCGGGCAGAAGTAGGGGCGCCGCTCCCCGAATACACCGGGGCGACGCGGGTGCGGGGCAGGCATGCGCGCATGCGTGCGCTGGTGGTTGAGCAGGAAGCGAGGCTCGCGGAAGCAGCGGCCACACTGCGCGCACTGGTGCGGCTTCTCGCCACTGTGGATGCGCTGGTGTGTGAGCAGGTTCTGCTTGAGGCTGAAGCAGCGGCCGCATTCAGGGCAGGGGAAGGGCCGCTCGCCGGTGTGCGTGCGCTGGTGCACCTCCAGGTTGTGCTTGACGCTGAAGGCCTTGCCACATTCGGGGCACACGAAGGCAGCCGCGCGCCCGGTCCCGGCCCCCGCCCCGGCGTGCGCCTTCTGGTGCCGCACCAGGCTGGGCTGCTGCCAGAAGGTCTGGCCGCACAGCGGGCAGCTGTAGGGCTGCTCCTCCGCTGGGTGGTGGATGACCAGGCCTCGCTCGTCCCCCAGACCTTCCTCCCCGTCCCCCTCAGGGGACCCGTCCTCGGAGGACACCAGGTCGGTCATGGGCGCTTCTAGCTGCAGTCACGAGCCCCTGGGGAGACAGAAGCAAGAGCAGGGTCAGAGTGGATGTGAGGAGCCAGCCAACCCCTACCCCATAGGGTCGTTAGCCTCCCTCTACCTCGGACACGGTGTTCTTTCTTTCTTTCTTTCTTTTTTTTTTTTTTTTTTTTTTTTTTTTGGTGGAACCGGGGATTGAACTCAGGCCCAGGCAAGTGCTTATTCCACTGAGCTATCTCCCCAGCCCCTTGGACATGTTTTTCTTCCAGCTCAACCTCTCCTTGCTGTCCCCTCTTCCCCTAACCACAGCCTGCCTTGGACTTTGCTCAAGTGCCAACTCCTCCTCGAAGCCTTGCTGGATGCCTCCAGCTTCTCTGAACCTTGCTGTCCAACCCTGCGACATCACCCTCACGACGGAGCTTCCTTATCCTAACTGCCATACTGAACACAGCGCCTGCGACACAAAGGCACAGAACACACACAGAAGGTAATATTCGTGGCTCCGGGCATTTTAAGTAAGCCTTCGCCTGGCTGTATCTTACATCTCCAACTAGATCCAAGGGAAGGCGGAGTGCAGTGCACCCCAGCACTGGAAGGAAGGATGGGGTCATCCGGGGTGTAAAGACATTTTTGCAAAGCCTCCCACAGGAAAAAAAAAACACACACACACACACACACACACACACACACCTGTAAACCTGAAAGGGACTTCACTGGGTTAAACACTAAAGGCAGCTTCTCTATCAAAATAGGGCCTGGGCTCAAGGGCTACAAGGCCCTGAACAGTGTGGGGTGGAGAACCAGTCTCTGCTTGACCAGAGCAAGGCCTGGCCCCAGCTGAGCCACATGCTCAAAGGACAACAAACAGCCTAGCACCTGGGTCCCTTCCCCTGGTCCTCCTTGGGTTCACCTCCCAGGTCGCTATGTCCCCTCTTAAGCCTTTTCCCACTGTCTGCACAACAGCCCCAAGACAGGTGCAGAGCAGGTGGGGCAGCCCCATTTATAAGCAGGGCAAGCCCAGTGCGATGAGGTCAACACACTTGTCCAAGGTCACACAGGTGACATAAGCGCTAAGTCTCACGACTCACTGTTGAAAGCTCTTCTCAGTGTACCAGCTGCTCACCAACTGGACATCTTTTGATACACACATGAATGCACAAGCACACATGCCCACAGAGCCCACCACCCCATCCCAGCTAATGCAGGGCCATCCATTCCCCAAAGGCCACTGCTCCGGTAGGGCACTGAACAATGCCCCCACTCCTGTGTCGTCGAACTTCTGGGCATGAGGGTCTCACCCATCCCATGCCTCTTCAGGGAAGGTGGCAGCCGACCTTCCAACACCCCTCAGCCTCCTTTCCTAAACCTTCAGAGGGCTCTCAGAAAGGCCCGTGTCTCCCCGACCTTCAGGCCAGGGGGAGCTGCATTCAGGCAGCCTAAGTGGTGGCCCGGTACCCTCACCCACAAGTCCTTTCCCTGGCGGCTGTGCTGACATTTGCAAAGATGGACCGTGACAGTCCCTCCGCCAACCTTGCCTGGCCCTGGCTGGGCAGCTTGTGGTCTCTCCCCACTATACCCCCACCCCCGATGGAGGCCCCGCCCTCCCCGGGGTCCCAAGGCCGCGGCCCTGTCCCTCCCTCCCCGCTACACTCACAGCCTGGGCTGCGCCCGGGCTCCTCCCCGGGTCTCCAGTGGCGATGCTTTCCTCTAGAGTCCGCGCCGTGTGACGCAAACACGGTGCGGCTCCCTCAGCGACTCCCGCGCCCCTGCTCCCCGCCCCCATAAAGACAAGCGACCCCCGCAACCCTGCGATTGCCGAGCGGCTGCTTGAAGCCAGAGCATTTCCCGCACCCCACCGACCCCCGCACACAACAAGCGTCAGCTCCTGCGGCCGCAGAGACCCCGGAGCTGCACCGTCCCTGTGCTTGGCAGCCCTCCCCCCACTCTACCCCCACCCCCACGGAGACACCTAGGCCGCCCCCCAGCCGCGCCCCCCCCAAAGAACTGATGCAAACCCCTCCCCAACGCCCGCAGCCTCCCCAAAGCGCCTCTGCAAGCCCGTGTAAACACGTAATTAAACCGCGGCACCGCCGCTCTCGGCGAGGACAGCGCAGCTCCCGCAAATACGGTAGCGGCCCGCGGTGACCCGCCCTGGGGTCCCGCCCTGGCCTCGGTAAATACGGCAGCCGCCGCCCGCCGGGCCGGGACTCACATGGCGCCGCCTCCCGGCCTCATCCTTGCCGCAGCGCCGCAGTCGCGACGTCCGCAGCGCGCAACGGTCCCGCGAGGCGGGGAGGTCCAACTCGCCGCCGACAACCTGGCGGCGGAAGAAGGGAGGCTGCGAGCGAGCGCTGCGCCTGCTCGGCCGGAGAGACCGGTGGGGGCCGGTTTGGGCGCCCCCAAGTTTCCCGGCCTGCTGCTCCCAGCCACCTGGAAGCAGGAGGACCGAGGTGGAGGTAGCGCCTCTCCTTTGAGTAGAAGGGGAAAGGAGGTAAACGCAGGCGCCCCGCTGCGGAGCATCTCAGTGTGGGGTTCATGGGCGGGAGACCCGAAAGGCGGAATCGCAGCGCTCCGTGGTCCTTGCTGCCGGCTTGGCAAAGCCCCCTCCTCGACATCTCTAGGATGGCCAGAGAATGGGTAAGGAGGGGCGTTGCGGCTTCAGAGGTCAGGCTGAGGACGGACCACGAAAGGGCAGCTCCGAACACCCAGAGAAACAGCAGGTGTGCCAGGCTAATTCCAGGTCCCCTGCCAGGCTGCACATGCCTCTGCCTTTTACCCGCCTTCCCGTGTATTATCTCGTGGGAACTTCTAATAACCCTGTCAGTCTCCTTGGGCTGCTGTTATTATCCCATTTTACAGACTGGAAAAATAAAGCCGAATGGCTTCCCCCAAGGCCCGCAGCTCTTAAGGGGCAGAGCCCAGATGGAGACGCAGACTTAAGGCCCTGGCGTTTGCCCTGTATCACACTGGGTCCAAGACCACGGGACGCAAAGGCTGTGGTGGCTCTGGGAGAGATGGTGCACGCCTGTAATCCTAGCTCTTGGGAGGCTGGAGCTGGAGCGCCCCTGCAAGTTCAAGGCCAGCCTGGGCACATAATGAATTCAAGTCCAGCCAGGGCTCCATAGGAGATGCTTTTCAATAGTCCAAACCAAAAACCACAAAAAGATGACTCAGCGGAAGTAATCCCCTACCTGTCGGAGTGGCTCAGAATTCACATTTGACAAACAGATGTAGGAGGAAACTGATTTTAAAGTGCTAAAAGAACATCAAATGGGTTTTATTTAATGTAATTGTACATTATTTTGCCCCCCTCCCCCATAGCTGCCCGGGAAAGGAGTCGGGGAAGGTGTTGTTGAGATCTCCAAGACCCAGGCAGAGCTCTTTCTGGCAAAGGGTGCATGTGGCTGTGAGCGTGGAACTCGTGCTTTCAGGGCCGAAGACTGCGCCCTGCTTCAGCCCCTTGGCACTCCTTTGCCTTCTGGACACCAGGACTAAAGCATTGCAGGAAAGGCCCCTGGGCAGTAAGTAAGTCAGCCCCTTGCGCAGACCCAAATAGGGCAGCCAGCAGGTCCCAGCCCACCCGGTCTGACCCATTCTTGGCCTCTGCACCCCGCTACTGCCACAGCAGCCACGGAGGTCCCTAGCCAGATGCACTGTCATGCCAAAAAGATCAGTGTTGGAAACAGGCATCGCGGAGGGGGCTGCTGGGAAGGATCAATGCGTACCCTAGATACAAGTTTAATTTCCCGCTGCAACGACAACAGGACCGCCTGGCCCCTGATGCAGCCCATGACAGCCACTATCTTCCACATTCCAGCTTCTCTTGCTGAAGTTGTCACCTGCCAGGGCAATAAGTTTTCTTACTTCCCACAGGCCACAAGAGAAATGGGGACATTCTATAAAGACCATGGCTTTCAAAGCAGAATCAGGACTCTAGCTGAGGGTGGCACCATATATTCGGCAGCGCTCCCCAGGTAACCTGGGAAGGGGATGCCACCTACAGCCCTGGGTCCCTGTGGGAGACATCAAGGACAGAGGGTTTCCACTCTTTTCTGCCGCTATGCTTCTGGGTGAGTTGCTTTACTTCTCTCATCACGCACACATTGGACCTGCTGCCTACCTCCGCCCCCGCCCATCCTCACAGGCTGTGGCGCTGTGGCACTGTAGAGCCTCTGCCCACACGCTCCTGCTGCCTCAGGGCCAAACAGTGGCCAGCATGTGCTCAGCACTATCTCACCCCGCATGGCAGGTGGCATCTGGACCCTGGCCCTTACAAAGGCTGTGGCTGCCCTGCTGCTAAGGTGCCCGTGGGGCACTGCGGTGGCCCGTGGCTCCTGTGTGGACAGAGACGACAGCTCAGTGAGCCTGCCCAGAGCCCTGCCCTGCATTCACCCCGAGAAACACTGGATGGGCAGAAGAGCCCAGGGAGGCTCCAGGCCCTGCTCTGCACATCCTGCACCTCCTCCTGCAGAAGGCGAGTCTCCAGGGCCTTGCTCTTGGAGTGGCAACACCCCGCCCTCAGGACCTCCTCCTGTTCCAGGGGTCGGATAGTGTCCCTCAAACCTCTCTCCAAAGCCTCTGGTGCTGGCCTCAGGTTTGGAATTCAGCACGCTTTTGTCATTACTCTCAGGTTGTAAACTTCAGAGGACAAGGACTGTGTTGCTAGCATCCCGGTATCCTAAGGATCCAGGATATAATAGATCTTCAGTCTATGTTGAATGAATGAATGAATGAATGAATGAATGAATGAATGAATGAATGAATGAAATGAAATGAATGGCCCTGAGCTACATCTGGCAGCTCAGAGGGGGAACATGGCTCCAAGTACGCCAATGCAGACGCGGGAAATGGCAAGCGAAGATGTAGCCCCAGCCACAATTTTGAGATTTGGGAGGAGTTACAGAGACCAGGGTGAAGACGTGGAATTCTTGGTGGGAGTTTTCGTCTGATCCAAATTGTAGAGTTAAAACCCAGGGCATGACCTGCAACATCAACTCAGCCAAACCCTTAACTCGTGGCACGCAGGCAATGGTCCCTGCTCATAAATGCTGAACTAAATACAGGAGAAACATTGTCTTCTCTTGTCACAGGTACGCATGCTCTGTAAGCAGCCATGCGTGGCATTTATTTACCCTTGTTTGTTCGCTTTTGCAGTGGTGGGAGTTGAACCCTGGGCCTTCACAACTGAGCTACATCCCTGCACTTTTTTATCTATCTATCTATCTATCTATCTATCTATCTATCTATCTATCTATCATCTATCTATCAATCATCTATTTATTTATTTTGCAGGGAACCAGGGATTGAACTCAGGCCCTTGCGCTTGCCAGGGAAGCACTTATTCTACTGAGCCATCTCCCTGGCCCACTTTTTTATTTTTTGAGATAGGGTCTCAGTAAGTCACTTAAGTCACGGGTGCAAACTTGTAGCCCTCCTCCCTCAGCCTCCTGGAGTGCAGAGATTACAGACCTGTGTTTCATGCCTGGCTTTTTTTTTTTTTTTTTCTTTGCGGAACTGGGGATTGAACTCAGGACCTTGTGCTTGCCAGGCAAGGACTTATTCTACTGAGCTATCTCCCTGGCCCCCTTCATGCCTGGCTTGAAACAATAATCATAATCATAATTATAATAATAGCCACCATGTATTGAGTGCTTGTAAATGCCCAGCTCTCAGTAAACAGTAGTTATTATTATACCTTGCCAGGGTCCCATAACTTAAACGGCAAAAGTCAGAACCATCTGGCTATCTAGTTCTCCCAACAAAAGGATCAAAGTTCTTTTTATTTTGTTCTTCTTCTTCTTCTTCTTATTATTATTATTATTATTATTATTATTATTATTATTATTATTGGCAGAACTGGGGATTGAATTCAGACCCTTGCACTTGCCAGGGAAGCTCTTATTCTACTGAGCCATCTTCCCAGCCCCTATTTTTTATTTTATTATTTTTTTATTTTCTTATGAATTTAGGGCAGGGCCTACAGGGTGTACAGGGTCTTACTATATAGATCAGACTTGTAGTAATTCTCCTATTTTCAGCCTCCCAAGTGCTGGGATTATAGTCACGTGCCACCATGCCCATTCCCAGTCATCCTTTCAGCATGCCCTGGGGGTGGGACTGGCTCAGCACACCAGGATTCGAATCCCAGCCGCTGTGCTCTGCTGAAGCAGGTGCTTTAGTCCACTAAGCTATCTGGCTGGCCCTCAAAGGTCTTTTTAGATTTGGGGCCATGGGTGAAAGGGAGGGGAGGAGAGGAAGGGAAGGTGAGACTTCTGGTTCCTTGACAATAGGAGCATCATTCCTAGGATTGTAGCCATTTAAGCTAATTAAAATGAAAGCAAAATTAAAATCCAGTCTCTCGGCCACATTACAAATGTCAACCAATCACATTAGCTAGTGGGAAGGGCATTGGAAGCGTAGACAGAATATTTGTCACAACATGGACGGCACTGGCTTCAGACACATTCCCCTCCAACCTGGATGCCATCTCTTTAGCCTAAGGGACAACCAAGTGATACCTCTGTTCCCTCCTCTGTGCTGCCCCCACCTGCACCCAGGAAGAACCGTGATAAGTGAGCACATACTATTTTTGGTTCCAGGATTCCTCCTCTTGCCAAAAAGTCAAACATATTTCTTTACCCAACTCAAACCATGTTAAAAATAAGAAAAGCTTTCAGAAGCAGCCTCTTCTTTGTCAGTTTCTCTGCCAGTCCCCTTTCGGCCCTGGGCCTGTGTCCCTTGGTCAGTGCACCTGTGCATGCTGAGGTCTTTGCGACCCCCTCTCCTTGGACAGATCCCCAGGGCTGTGCCGAGACACCATGGCTCTGAGTACAACAGGCACCAAGCCCTTCCAAGGACCCAATGGCCTCACTGGCAGACCTGTTTGTGTTACTTGCCACAGAACCACCACCAGCGAGTATCTAGGGCACTTTTCTCAGTCCCCAGCCTGTTCCTAATAAAAGATCATGGGAGTTCAGAAACACCAGCCCCAGCCAGCCAGGACATGTGGCTTGTTGCAGGCCTGACAGCAGACAAGACAGGAATCCTTTAAGATCTTCCTGTACTCATGGCTGTTTTCATTCCCCTATGCAACCCTGTCATCTCTGCGCAGTATCTTAAATCCAGAATCACTAAGATAACAAGTCTGATCTTGTTTTTCATTTTATGAGACATGTCTTCTGAATTTTTTTTTTTTTTTGGGGGGGGGAATGGCTCACGCTGCCTGAAAGGCAGGTCTGGTAGGGAAGGTGGAGCTTGGGATTGAACCGCAGTATCCTGCTCCTGACTGCCTTTGCATGAGCAGGTGCTTAAACAACTGAGCTAAGGGCAGGTCCCCAAACTATTTTAGTGATTCTTTTGTTTTGTTTTTGGTGGAACTGAGGATTGAACTCAGGACCCTACGCTTGCCAGGCAAGCGCTTATTATACTGAGCTATCTCCTCGGCCCCTCTTCTGAAATATTCTGACCCACCATTATCACTTTACAATGAAAGAGAATAAAAACTGGAGTTGACAGTACCACACCGTTCTTGGATTTTTTTTTTTTTTTTTTTTTTTTTTCCCGGAACCGGGGATTGAACTCAAGCCCTTGAGCTTGCCAGGCAAGCACTTATTCTACTGAGCCATCTCCCCAGCCCCCATTCTTGGATTTTGATTTTGATTTGGGATGCAAGGTAACAGGAAGCCTGGGACCTACATGACAGTCTGCAGCAAAAGACAAGTCACACTGACCCAGCCTCATTCCTATCAAAAGGCAACCTCACTGCCCTACCAATGTCACTGGCCATGTGACATTAGGAATAAGGAAGCCTTGCTGAGAGGTCCCAAGTTAATCATGTAGATTTTCCAAGTCTTGGGTGTTATCAAAATGGTTTTCCACGAAGATCTTTAAGCTCAAGGGCAGGGACAGTGTCTTACTCATGGCGGCATTGCAGAAGTCTAATACATGCCTGACACACAGTGGGACTGACCTGGCCAGGGGGCACACACATGAGTAACTCCTTACTCTAGGGGATTTGGCCCTGCCCCCTTATGACCCAAAGCATTAATACGTGAGTCAGTTACCCGGGAAAAGTGAGCAGGTATCCTCATGAATTTGCAGGCATGGGCAGCTGCAATTAGTGTCATTCGTCCCTAGTTTTACCAACACTGCACTTTATCATCAAACACGAGCCACTGGTGGAAAGAGCACACTGTACTGCAGGATACCCCTGCTGGTTGGATCTCTTCAGCATCTGTGCCACCGGATTCTGCGGAGATCCGGTGTTTCTGCAGATCCGGCCCAGGAGTGACTACTGGTGCCAAGACAGCTCCCTGGATTGGCTTCAGGATTCGCTAAGTGGCAAAGAGGAAGCAGCAAATCAATTAGAAGAGTCCTCCAGAGCTAGATTAGGGGTTTTTTCTTAATTTTTTTTTTTATGTATTTGGTACAGGGTCTCACTATGCAGCTCAGACCTGTAGTGATCCTCCTGTTTTCAGCCTCCCCAGTGCTGGGATTATAGGCACCTCCATGCCGGGACTCAGTCGCTAGCTCAGTGTGCCCCAGGGGTCAGGCCGGCATGCATGTGGGACCGGGGATCAAACCCTGGTTCCCACACTTGCTAAAGCAGGCTCTTAGTCTGCTGAGCTATCTCTCACCAGCCCTAGATTAGGTCTTAATATGAGCAAGGGTACTGGGCACTTTCTGGGCAGGCCAAAGCGGTCAGGAAAGGAGCTGCAGAAGAGGGGCAGGGCCTATGGAGGAGGCAGCCCCCCCCCCCCCCCCCCCGCGCGCGCTAGTAAGGGTCAGAGGGGCACTCAGGAAAACCCTTCTGGTTTGGCTTCATGTTGATCCTGAGACCTCAGCATCTAGATGGGCAATAACCCTGCCACACCTCGCTCAGTGTGGGATCTCGTTTGTGATCCAAGAACCAGACCAGGAGAGCTAAGCTGAGGGGGTGAGCGGCCCAGGCTTATGTGGAAACAGGTACTACAGAGATTTGGGGAGAAAGGAACAAAGTGTTCCCCACCGGGGGCAAGAGCTGGCGGCAGGGAGCAGCTGTGCTCAGGGGAGGAGCTCTATGCCCAGGATCGACCAGATGGGCACCCTGCAGCGCGTGTGAGGCAGGCTTCGGTGAGGGTGGGTCGGAGACACTGAGAGTGTGGGAACAAGAAATCTTTCGTTTTTCTCAAGTCCTGGATGGAAATGGACCAGGTAGGTCACAGCCCACCATTCAGTATCCCCAGGATCCTCGGCAGCAGGGACACTAAGCCTTGGAAAAGAAATACCAAATTATTCAGCTCCCCAGAAATATTTATTGGATGGTCATTAAGGGGAATCTTGCATGATACCAGTACACCAATAGCGTTGTTAAATGGATGGTCCCTAAGGGCAAACAGTGGTGTTGGAAATGTGCTTGCCCCTCCCTACCCATCACCTCTTCTCCACCTGCAGTCTCCAGAGTTGGTGGCCACTGTCTCATGAGGACGGTCCCCAGGCTACCCTACAGCCCGAGTTTGGCGGCTCACCAATCCTGGCAATTTCATACCCCTCTCAGGGACCCCAACAGCCCCCTCACGCAGAGCCTGAGAGGTCTAGGGTCCACCTATTGGAGACGCACAGCACAGCGTGGGGGCCAGGTTTGGGGGAACAGCAGATCTCACCCCCTCCTTCAGCACAACCTGGGCGCTCTGCCAAGCACCCTCGGATGTTGCTGGAATTCTGTTCTTGGGCCTCGTTACCCGGTGGAACGACCTTCTGTGTGGGTCTAGAGGAAAGTGCCGGCATGCCTGCCCTCCCGGGGCCCCATAGGCACCCCCCACACACACACACTACAGCGCCTCTTCCTCCTCCTCTTGGGAGGTACAAGGCCCGGGCGCCGGGGCTCCACGGTGGACGCGCTGGTGCTTGAGCAGATGCTGTTTCTGCCGGAAGCCGCGGCCACACGCAGCGCACACGTAGGGCCGCTCCCCGGTGTGGTTGCGCTGGTGCCGGGTGAGGTTGGGCTTCTGGCTGAAGCGGCGGCCGCACTCCGGGCAGGCGTAGGGCCGCTCGCCCGTGTGGATGCGCTGGTGGATGGTGAGCGCCGACCACCACGAGAAGCTCTTGCCACACTCATTGCAGATGAACTGCCGCTGCTCGCTGGGTCCCGCTAGGCCTGCGGCACCCTGGCCCCACAGAACATGGTGCTCTGTCTCCTGTGGACTACAGAGTTGCGTAGAGTCCAGACCCCCGGGGCCCCCCTCAGTGCGTGGCTCAGCGTGCGTCTCCCCACCCTCGAGCTCGGGCCCGGGATGAGGCAGCTCGGAGGCACGCGCGCACTGGTGGGCGCGCAGCGCGGCGCGGCTGGGGCAGCTTTGCCCGCAGCGGGAGCATGATGCTGCCTGCGCGCCAGGCAGGTGCGTGCGCAGATGTTTCAGCAGGTGCTGCTTCTGGCGGAAGCTGCGGCCGCAGTGTGAGCAAGGGTGTGGCCTCTCCCCGGTGTGGTTGCGCAGGTGCCGAGTGAGGTTGGGTTTCTGGCTGAAGCGGCGGCCACACTCAGGGCAGGCGTAGGGCCGCTCGCCCGTGTGGATGCGCTGGTGGATGTTCAGTGACGACCACCATGAGAAGCTCTTGCCGCACTCATTGCAGATGAACTGGCGCTGCTCCCCGCTGGGCCCAGGAGTGATCCGAGTTCCCGGCTGTCCCCACCAACCTCGGCACAACCCTAGCCAGGCCCACTCGGGACGTCCTCGAGGTGGCCCCGGCCGCAGGCGACAGGTCCTGCGCACCACCGGGTCCCGCTGTGCCTCCTGCAGACCAGAGCGCGAGCCCTGACGATCCCGGGCGTGTGCTCGCTGGTGGATGCGCAGGCCTACCTGGTGACGGAAAGAGCGCTGACACTCGGGACACGAGTGGGTGGTGGGTCGGGAGTGGGTCTTCTGGTGCTTGAGCAAGTGCTGCTTCTGGCTGAAGCGCCGGGTGCACTCGGGGCAGCAGAAGGGCCGCTCGCCCGTGTGGTGCCGCTGGTGGCGAGCCAGGTTGGGCTTCTGGCTGAATCTCTTGCCGCACTTGCCACACAGGTAGGGCTTCTCCCCGGTGTGCGTGCGCTGGTGGGTCTTCAGGGACGACCACCAGCTGAACCTCTTCCCACAGTCCACGCACACAAAGTGACCTGCGCCCGCAGGAAGTGCTGGGCTCAGAGGGCCCGCAGCTGTCCCAGGGGCCCGGCCTGCGGGCCTTACATCAGGTTCAGGGGCAGGGGCCCGCCCTAGACACCCGGGCTCCTCCTTCGCCCCCAGGGCCCGCGGCCGGCCCAGGGCTTGGCATGTCGGGAGGCCCGGATGCTGCTGGCAGATGTTCTCCTTATCTTTCTCTGGCAAGGAAGCCTGCCCTGCCAGCAGCCGCTCTGGCTTCTCCTGCTTAATTTTCATGACCAGTCCATCTCCTGCCGGAGGGGAGAGAGGATGAGGAAAGGTCAGCAGCAGCTGCTGATGGGGTGGAGGGGAAGGGCAGAGTGGGAGGGGCACCAGCGGCCAGAGAGGAGCTAGGGGATGACAGGAGCCTCCACATGGAGGAAGAAAAATGGGAAAGGGAGGGAGTAGGGAAAAGAAAGATACGCTGAGGACAGACAGAAGTGTGGAGAGTGAAGGGGAATGTAGGGAGGATAAGGGACTGGCTCAGGCAGAGGACAAGGACAAGTGCTCTAAGCCGGGAACCTTAAGGAAAAGAGCCAGGGGAAGCCTCCTGGGAGGCCCCAGGCAGCAAGGAGAGAGGGGCCAAGTCTCAAAACACGGAGGGTACCCCAAGCCCCTCCGCAGTGAGGGTGACGGAGCCCAGGGCACTGTTGAGGAGCCCAGGTCTACAGAGGTGCTTTGCCTGCCTAGCTCCAGGGCCAAGCAACTGTGCGAATGCACCTCCTTCAGACCCTAAAGACTGCATCCCTCACGATCCACTTAACATGGAGAGCGAGAGCTGGAAAACTAGTCGGTCAGTTGGAAATCAGGGCAATGGCCACATTCAAGGCCACGGGTTCTCAGGTGTGGGCAGTGCTGTCTCGGTTGTGGGTGCTAGGCATGTGGGTGTGTTCACTCAACGAGAATTTACAGGGTCTGTGACTGGTGCACTTACCTCTGTGTGCTGTACTTCAATAAAACGCTCACACTGAGCTGGGTGCAGTGGTGCACACCTATAATCCTAGCATTTAGGAGGCTGAGGCAGGACTGCTTCAAGTTCAAGGATGACCTGGGCTACATTATGAGTTCAAGGCTGGTCTGGACAATATGGAGACACACACCCCCCTTTTTTTTTTTCAAAAAAAGAAAAAAAAAAATACTGACTGGTTGCCAGTCAGTTTCTTGATGTTGGAACGATATAGGTAAGAAAAGACAAGAAGAGCTAAATCACAGCTTTCAACATTACAAAGACAACAAATAAACCCAAAAAAGAAGAGCAAAGGTATTAATAAAGATTAAAAACAGAGATTATAAATAAAGGGAAGACAAGTACAAAAAAGAGATTCTGAAAATCTTTTTTTTTTTTTTTGGCGGAACCGGGGATTGAACTCAGGCCCTTGTGTTTGCCAGGCAAGCGCTTATTCTACTGAGCCATCTCCCCGGCCCCAGATTCTGAAAATCTTAAAATGTTACGTATAGATTTTATATTAATAAATTTGAGGGCCCAGTGGCATAAGTGCCTGGAAAGCGCAAGGTCCTGAGTTCGATTCCCTATACCCCCCCAAAAAAAAGAATAAGAACACCTGACTGTAAAATAAACAATCAGAAGAGAGTAAAGAAAAAGCCAGAGTTCTACCCCCAAATAGGCAATAAGCCACATGACTGCATAAACAGATTCTATTAAAAATTCAAGAGGATTATTCCCAGCATTGAAGGAATTTATTTGACTAAAGTTAATTTAAGTCTAAATTTAAATTTATACAGACAGATGGGCTAACAGATACACGATCGCACAGGTTTAGGTAAAACATGTGCCAATATGTGGCAAAAGACTGATCTAGACTGTGTAAAACAGGGCTGGGGCTTTGGATCAGCGGTAGAATGCTTGCCTAGCAAGCTGGAAGCCCTGGGTTCGGTCCTTGGCACCAAAAAATAAATCTCCCCTACTATGTGTGAAAGACTTGCACAGATACGCTGAGAAGAGGTAGGACCTCATTAGCCAGCAAAATGACAGAACACAGAAAAGGAAGACAGACACTATCCCTACTTCACAATACACAGGGAGCTGCCTAAAGGGGACAGGAGTGCACAGGGTGTCCTGGGGCATACCCAGAGGGGTCTCTTCATAATATAAAATACCAAGCAGCAGCAGAAAAGACGGGGGGGGGGGGGGGGACGGGACGATGTATGTCAATATGGATAGACTTCTGAAACATTTTAGGAGAAAAGCAAAAGCAAGTTGAAAAACCAGTATAAATCACCTGACCCAATTTATGAAAAATAAAACGATGTCTCTCTCTCTGCATATGAACCTGCGGAGTCCAGGATAGGGAAGTGGTCCCCTCTGACAGGACAGGAATAATAGTGAGGTTGGCCAGAGAGGTCAAAGGGGAACTTTATCTGTGTTTTTCAGCCTGTGTGGGAATACTCAAGTGCTAATCATTTTTAACTCTTTATAATTTTTAAAGAAACAAGGGGGCTAGCAAGATAGCTTAGCAGTCTAAAGTGCCTGCTTAGGCAAGCTTAGGCAACTGCAGGGACTGAGGTTTGATTCCCAGCACCACATGCTGCGCCAGCCCTGCCCCTAGAGCAGGCTGAGCCAGACATGGAAGGGGAGGGGAGGGGAGGGGAGGGGAGGGGAGGGGAGGGGAGGGGAGGGGAGGGGAGGGGAGAGGAGGGGAGAGGAGGAAGGGGATCATGGAGAGTGCTTGTAAGAGACCTGGTTGCCAATTTTAGTGTACACGCTGCCTGCGCCAGCAGAGGGCCTGTTTCCTCTTGGCAAAAACAACGCCATCTGTCTCCTCCAGGGCTTGAGTGTGAAAAGTCATTTTATTAAGAGTCATAATTTGAAAACAAAAATGGCGATTTAAATTACATATTGGCGGGAACTGACCCAGCAAAGAGTGTAGCTGATTCTAAGAATGTTTCTTCAGCCTCACCCCACTGTTGGCCAAGAGAAGCACTGAAGGCACTAGGTGTCCACAGCGGCTGCCTGGTGGTAAGTACCAGATAGACTCAAATGGGAAGGGACTGTGTCCCTGAGTGACCCTGTGCTTGTTGATGTCCCAGAGCTCACCTGGCCTGTGCTCCGCCTGGCTAAACCTGGCTACCATCTACCAGAAGCTGTGTCCTCCGGACCAAAGACATCTCTGCACCCAAAAGCCTGAGGGCACCAGGACAAGCCTTTGTATTTCCAGCCACAAAGGGCCCGGGGCACACACAGGCCCAGCACAGGTCCTTGCAGAACTGGAATGGGATGTGCTTGAACCCAAGCCGGCCCCAAGGCACAATCTTTATTGCTTAGTTCTTGCTTGATACACAGCCTTACAGGGAATGCGCCTGAGTCATTGTAGAAAAGAATGTTTTATTTTTATTTTTACTTGATTGATTGGTTGCAGTACTGGGGATTGAACCCCAAGGTTTTCACACTGAGCTACATCCTGTTTTACTTTTCATGTTGTGATAGGGTCTCCCTAAACTGCTAAGTTGCCCAGGCTAGACTAAAATTTATGACCCTCCTCTCCCAGTATACTGAGATTATAGACGTGTACCACCACCACACTGGGCTTATGTTTTAAATTTTATTTAGAAATAATAGGAAGTGGAGCTGAGGAGACAGCTCAGTAGTCTAACCTCCTTCCTGGTAAGCACAAGGACCCAGGTTTCATCCCAGGTATATGTGCTGGTCCTACTCCGGGCACATTGTGTGGCCCTGAAACTGGGTGTGGTGGGGTACATCTGTAATCCCAGCGCTGAGGAGGCTGAGACAGGAGGATTACTATGAGTCTGAGCTGTGTAGTGAAACCCTGTACCAAATAAATACATAAATAAATGATTTTTTAAAAAGAAACAATATGGGGCCAGGGAGTTAGCTCAGTAGAATAAGTGCTTGCCTGGCAAGTACAAGGGCCTGAGTTCAAACACCAGTTCCAAAAGAAAAAAAAGAAACAATAGGAAGGTGCTTATTACTCAATGGGTACAGAGTTCCGGGAGTAACCCAACAAGTCTGAAAACAGATGGTGTGATGGTTTTGCAGCACTGTTAACATGCTTAATGCCAATGAACTGTACTTTTCAAAACGGCTTACATGAATGTTATGTTACGTGTAGTTTGCCACGATCCTAAAATCACATAAAATATATGTAAGTTAAAAGAGAGGCTGAGAATGTAGCTCAGTAGGACAACTCTTTCCTAGCATCCTGGAGGCCCTGGGTTCTACCCAGCACCACAAAAAACATATAAATAAGATAGATAAGCTATTTCCCGACAAATGTGGCCGTCGAAAATGAGTGGACCACGGTGTAAATCCAGCTAGGCAGGCAGCTTAAGGAGCCCTGAGAACACAGCTGAACACTGCCCTGGGCCCCAGGGCCCCAGGATTTAGTACAGCGTTTCTCAAACTCTTCCCTAAAACCGCAGGCTCACCTCAGGAGCTTCTCTAGGGAGGGCAGAGGGCTCTGGTGGTTTCTGGGTCCCTTGTCAACCGGAGCTGCCCTCAGCCAGCCGGGTCCCCCGGTGAGCTGATCTGGGGAAAGGGCCCTGCTGCAGAAGCACTCGCACGCGAGCTCTAGGCGTCTACACTGTCTGCACCCTGCAGGACTTGTGCTCCCAAGGGCAGGCTGGGACAGCCCAGCCGCACCCCCACCACCAGTGCCACCGGGGGGTCAGGCACTGGCTGGAATGGGTGGCTTCCACTCCTCACACTGCTGCCCTTGCAGCCTGCCAGGAAGATCTGTCTTTCCCAGTTACTGCCTGATTTTCCCCAGGGGTCTTGGGACCACTGCAATGATTTTCCTGGAGAGGGCAGATGGCCTCCTGATGGGCGCCATGGGGTGGGACTCTGGGGTCCATGGGGCAACTTGTGGAGCCACCCCCTGCCTGTTCTCAGACCCAAGGACACCAGGACAGGGGCCACAGAGAGCATCCAGAGTGGCTCACGGGAACCAGGGCCGCTGGGGAGGGCTCCAGCCAGGAGCACATGACCAGACTGGAAAATTTTCCACTCCCGGGAGCATTTGCCTGGGAGATGCAGGCTCCCAGCCAGTAAAGACCCTGAACTCTGGGTGACCCCGGGAAGCTCTAACAGCCTGAGACAATTTGCTGATCAACAGTGTGTTTTCACCACTTTCCTACCCAGAAGCTAGTTTGCCATGTTAAATTAGGAGCCCCTTAGTCAAAGCCCTTAAAACGCACCTCAGAGATTTCTACCGTTCCTGCCCTGTGTGTAACGGTAATGGTAAGACTGGGCCTTCCCAGTTCTCTGTTCCCATGGCTTCTGTCCTTGTTCTGTCCTTTGTGTGACCTTCAAAGTCCTGGCCCCCATCCTGAAACTGTACATCCTAGAAGCTACTGGGCAAGGCCAGCAGCATAGTCTCAGCTCTCGGGGGGACAAGGGCAGGTGGGCCTGGGTTGAGGGGGAGGGGGAGGCCACCTCCAGGCTCTCTCTTACCTGTGCTGTCACCAGGCCGGCTGCTCTCCATCCCTGGAGTCTCCCACGTAGTCAGCACTGGCTGGGTCCCTGCCCTGCCATCTAGGGGTGAGATGGAAGCAAAGAAAGAGAATTGGCCTGGGGGGAGGGGGAGGGGGACAGGGGAGGAAAAGGAGGAGGAGGAGGAGAAAGAGGAAGAGGAGGAAGAGGAGGAGGAGGAAGAAGAGGAGGAGGAGGAGGAGGAGGAGGAGGAGGAGGAGGAGGAGGAGGCCAGGCTCTGAGGCACTACCACATGAGATCTCTTTCCCAAGAGCTTTTCTATCTGCAGCCTCAGCTCAGATAGTCAGATCTCTAAGTTGCACACATACCTGCTGTAGGTAAAAAAACAGCCTAGTTCCTGTTGTGTAAAGAGGAAATGGGCCAGGGACAACTGTGGACATGCCCAGCATCGCAGCGGGCCAGGAAGGCAAAACCCAGGGGACAGAGCTTGGTCCCACACTCAACACTGACACTCGGGTGTGGGAACAATGAGGCATCCCCTGAGCACCCGGGACCTCAGGAGGGCTGTGTAGCTCAGGGCAGGGCCCTCACCCAGGAAGCACAAGGCTTCCTTCCCAGCGCCACAAAACAGCCAAAGCACCAGAGCCACCCGTTCCGAGCCAGTGGCTCCCCTCAAAGCCCCCACCCACATTCTCCCGCAAGCCTCCCAGGGCGCGTCACACCCATCCCTGGACGTGAAGAGTCCCAGCTTCACAGATCGAGCCATCAGCATTTTCTTCATTTCACAGCCATGCTTCTGAACATTTCCTGACGGGTTCTCTTCCCACTTAAAAAGGAAGGTAGCTGGGGGATGTCACCTTCCGGGGGCAGCCATCTCTGGCACCTTGGTGTGCAGGCAGGTACGCCTGGCCCCTCAGTCAGGCTCAGGCTCAGCGCCCAGCCCCCACGCCTGGGCAGCCAGGGCACTTAACAAATGTGCGGCGTAATACATGTGCTGCCTGGCTTTGAGCTGAGGCTCAGAGATGGGCTCGTGTGTCCACTACCTGGATGTGTGGCTGTCATCTCCAGGTCACAGCGGGGACAGCTGGCTTCCTCATGGACACCCTGGCTACCGTTCCTCCCTCCTCCAGGTCCCCTTTCTGAGTCCACGCTAAGGACTCCTGCCCTGATGGGGAAGCTGGCCCCTGAGCAGGATCGTGGTGCACCCTGTAATCCTCGCACTCTGGAGGTTGAAGCAGGGTGGTCATGAACTTGAGTGCAGCTTAGTGACTTAACAAGATTCTGTTTCAAAACTTAAAGGGGGGGCTGGTGAGATGGCTCAGTGGTCTAGAGCATCTACTTAGAACAAGCTCAACAAAGCACAGGAACCGCGGTTCAATCCCCCAGCACCACATGCCAGTCAGCCCCGCCCCCTGGTGGGCTGAGCTGGCCACACACACACACACACACACACACACACACAGAGAGACACAAATAAATAAAATTTAAAAAAAAATTAAAAAAAAAAAATTAAAGGGGGGGAGCTGGGATATGGCTCAGTGAGAAGGCCCTGGGTTCAAGCACTAACCTGTAAAAACATCGACAACAAAAAATTAGACCTGCCAACAGGCAGCACAGAGGGGTAAGAATCAAAAGCAAAAGCACTTTCACGGTTACAAAGAGGGAAAGGGACACCCTCCTTTTTTCAGGGTACTTTCTTTAGAAACGTCTGTTAAGCCAGACTCTGTCCCTTGGAGCCATATATAAATCTTCTGTAAAGCTAAAGAAGCCCCAGGCCAGCCTTCCGGGAAGGGCCAGGAAGCCACTGCTTTCTGATGTAAACCTGCAGGAAGCCAAGCCACCTCCTCAAGGGGAAACCTAATGCAGGCTGGAGCCAGGCTCCCGCTAGCAGACTTACCTCCTGTCCTAAACAGGAATTTATTTTTCTTTTGGGTAAAGGCAGTTGGCTGACAGATGGTCACCCACTTCCCAGGTGAGTTCTGGATGGCGCTGTGATGTCCCCTTGTTTGAGCAGCAGCTATCTTGAGAACAGGTGTGTCCGGGGGCCTCTGTCTGACCCATCACCAGGGTGTGGGTCACTTCTGTGGCCAAAGACTGCCTCAAGTGACATCACATTCTGGTAATGCTTATTCAAAAAAAAACAAAAAAAAAAAACAAAAGCAAAAACAAAACTTTGTTTGCTTTCTCTCCTTTCTGGAAGAGCCGTTTCTAGGGGGCCAGGGGCTGATTTCAATTACTTCCCTGCAAGAGGTTGCCCAGAACCCTACTGTGTTTTCTCATGGACATGGAGCAGAGGAAGCAGCAGAAGAGGGAGGGTGAGGCCCACTGTGCCAGGCCCAGGCAGGGCTGGAGGGGCTCAGTCAGCAACCCCAGCTGTGCCCTGCCCCCTCCAGCCCCAGTGTGAGCTTCAGCATCCCATCAGCCACCTCTCACCACGTGCACCCTGCATTCACCGAAAGAGGCCTGAGGACCATGGAGAGGGGCCACCTCAACACCAGGAGACTCAGGGAGTCAAAACTGGGGCTACAAATCTGGGGCAAATCTGGGGCAGGGTCAGAGGGTCAGGACAAAGTCTATGCGACAAACCTAGGGGTCCCTAAACCAAACCCAAGGGAGTCTTGCTTTATCCGCTCTGGGTTCTAAGAGCTGGTAGGGCCTCAACGTTGCATCCTTTGATGCCTTATGGGCTACCCTGTCCAGGACCTGAAGGAGAACAGACCTGTGCAGGAACAGAAGGACCCAAAGGGACCAAGTAAGAAATGAGGGGACATAGAGGACCGGCAGGGGCGAAGGCAGCCGTGCCTCCAGGGGCTCTGGTCCACCTGTGTCCTCAGGACGGACAGATCTGCAGGCCACACCTGGATACCAAGCCAGACCATCCCTCCATGTGGACACCCACTCTGGGTCCTCCGTGCCACCTTCTCTCCAACTCTGCCTCCTGCTAGGCCGCCTGGCTCTCCCCTCCTCAACCCACCAGGATGCCCCACACAGTGGCCAGCACAGACACCTAGGAAGCAGGCTCCCCTGTTGAACACCCTGCAGGCCCAGGAGTATGCACTCCCAGGGGCTAAAGACAGCCTGTCACACAGCCCAGATCCTGCTCCCTGCAACACCTCAGGAGGATGCCCACGTCACCTCCCCTTCCTCCCACCTGCCTGCCCTCGGCTGGACCAAGCTGGATCAGAAGCCCTCAAGGAGGATGCCCAGCTGCTCTGCCAACTGGGAGCTGCATGGAGAGGAGGGGGTGGGCTGCGGCAGGTGGAGTACCCAGGGCCAGGGGGTGACAAGGGGGCCCAAGTGTCAGCAAAGACTTAGCAGCTGGGGCGAAGAGCAAGGCCAAAGGCCAGGGCCTTAGAGAGGCAGCTTGGGGACCTGTCCAGGTCCCCATTTGTCCCCAGGTCACTGTGTCTAGAACAGCTCAGGGCCCAGGAAGAGAATTGGATAGTACCCCACCGCCCTTTGTCACCAGCAAGGGAGGACAGTGCCTTTATTACAGACAGCTGAATTAGGTAGAAATGTAAGCCAGACAGACCAGGCCTCTGAGGGAGTCAGCGCAGAGGATGCGAACACAGCGCACCTGCGGCGAGAACTGCATCTGTAAGCCAGGCCTTGAGGCAAAGACAGAGTGCGCAGGCCTGTGAGCCTCCCCAGGGAGACGCAATAAGTTATACTACAGTGGCTATCACCTAGTCCAGGGAAGTCTGGGCAGACATCAGTCCCCCAGGTGGGTGACCTCCCGACCCACCCCTTCCAAAAAGCTCTTTGTTCTTCCCATGTTCACTTGCCACGTGACTGCTTCCCTCACTGGGTCATTATTACCTAAGTGGTTATAACTGTAATTATTTTTTTAACATATTTGGTGCAGGGTCTCACTATGCAGCTTGGACTCATAGTGATCCTCCTGTCTTCAGCCTCCCCAGCACTGGGTTTACAGGCGTGTGCCACCACGCGTGGGCCTCTGCTGCCTGGGTCTCCGATGCCTGCTCAGTGTGCCCCGGGGGCAAGGCCAGCACAGCATGTAGTGCTGTGCTTGCCTAAGCAGGCGCTTGGTCCCCTGTGCTATCTCACTAAGCAGGCGCTTGGTCCCCTGTGCTATCTCACTGCCTTCTTTTTTTTTTTTGTCTTTTCGAGACAGGGTCTCACTATGCAGTTCAGGCTGGCCTTGAGCTCACTTTCCAGCCTAGACTGGTCTCGAACTTGCAATGATACTCCTGCTTCAGCCTCCTGAGTGCTGGAACTACAAGCATGTGCCACCACACACGCCTGTACCTGTAATCTTACCAGTTGACCTTAGTTTTGGCCCATGTTATACCCACCGTATGACTTTGCTCTACAAAACTTGCTTTGGGAAGTGGGCTCGTCAGCAACCCACTTCAGGACCCCCTCCTGTCTCGCAGGAGCTCTTGCAACACATTTTCCTACTCTAACCCCTGTTGTTCCTCAGAGCTCATCCTTCAGTTCTGGGGAATGCAAACTTGGGGTGTCCGCTATCCAGCAGACTGAGAGCTGTGTTGCTTCCCCTTTATCACCTATGCCAGGAGCAGAGGCTGAACCTGACTGGTTCCGCCTTCCTCGCACATCCCCCCTGCCATGTCAGCATCTGCAGGGTGACGGGTGAGGGCAGCCAGGCTCACTCACCCCCATGGGCCACCAGCTGCTGGAGGCCAACTGTGCCAAGCATTCAGTGCACAGCGCCCGCATCATCCTTCAGCTAGGGACACAGGAGCTCAGCAAGGCGAGGTCACTTAGTCAAGGTCACACAGCCAGTAAGTGCTGGAGTCAGGACCAAGCGGGGGACCCTGCTCCAGCCTGGGGCTCTCTCAGTGACCCGATCATCTCCAAAGAGACAATGTGTGACTCACTGTGGAGCTACCTGTGGCCAAGACAGCCTCAAGTACCCCTTGATTTCAGAGGTTTGGCTTCTACAGGCACATGAACTTATTTAAATTCAAATAAATTAAACTTAAAATTCAGTTTCCTATTCATACTGACACACTGAAGTGGTCATCAGCCACCTATGGCCAGAGTCATTGCCATCTTCCCGGAAAACCAACTTCAGGAACACAGGGGCCATACCCTGCCTGACCCCCATAAGCGGATGTCTGATCTACATGGACTTCATTAACAAATGGAAAACTCTGAGAGGTCACTTGCAGCCCCTGATATTCATCACAAACAACAAATCCCTCGGGATAAGCCAATGTCCCTTGCCTGGGAAATGGATTGCAGTAACAGCAGTGATGTTGTCACTTGAAACGTATGACTGACAGCACGCAGGAAACAGCTGGAAACACCAGTGCACCCACATGCCCACACACCCATCTATACCCAACTAAGCAAAGGAAAGTTCAAAGAAGCAAAAATACAGACACAGCCAGGTAGTGACCCAGGCCTGCAATCCCAGCACCACTCGAGACTGACACAGGAGGATGGGAGTTCAATCCCAGCCTAAGAAACAACCCTGTCCCAAATTTATTTATTTATTTATTTATTTATTTATTTATTTATTTATTTGACAGGGTCTCACTATGCAGTTCAGGCTGGCCTTTGCTCACTTTTTTTTTTGGGGGGGGCAGAACCAGGGATTGAACTCAGGCCCTTGCACTTGCCCCCATGGGTGCCTGGTGATCCAGGGCTGAGACCACATGGCATGTGGGGTCGGGGATCAAGCTAGGGTCTTTGTGCCTGCCGGGTAGGTGCTTATGCCTCCTCTGAGCTATCTCTCCAGCCCCAAAGTCCCAAATTTTTAATAGAAAGGGAGGGCATATTGTGGAGATTTAGCCCAGTGTCAAGGCCTTGAGTTGAATACCCAATATCAGAGAGAACAACACTTACATAACATAACAGTAGGCTGTTATAACCATTCTGTTTTATTGTTAGCTATTGTCATTCATGCATGCGCCTGATTTACACATTACATTTTATCATAGGTGGATATGTTTGTTTGTTTGTTTGTTTGGGGGTACTGGGGATTGAACTCAGGATCCTATGCTTGCCAGGCAAGCGCTTTTTCTACTGAGCTATCTCCCTGGCCCTCATAGGTGGGTATGTACTGCAGAGGAGAATCAGTAGACACAGGGCCTCAGTACTATCCACCACGGAAGACAAGGGGGCTAGTGTGTCGTCCGTAC